AGTGGTTTCTTTTGTTAAGGAATCCCTCGAACCTAAAACGAAAATGAAACACATGGCCAGGAGCAGACATTTGCACCCCTCCCCCAAATTATTTGTTTTTAAAGTACAGGAATATCAATTACTTTGATCTGTGGACAAAATAGCCTAGAAAGATTTGAAATAGAATGAAAATAGTCTAAAAATGAATACATAGAATGAAAATATTATTAGTGGGTTTTGGGGGGTTTTTTTGGTCACTTGATTTAATGAATTGAGAAAGAAGGAATTAGGAAAAAGAGTCACTGGAAAGCCATTTCATGACAGGAAGAGCTATTTTATTAAAAGTGTTCACATTCTCATTATTTCTTGGGTTGCTCCCTGTATTAGGCATGATAAACTAAATAATTTCGTGATTCCAAGCAATTTCCTGAAATCAGTTACTTAAGATAATGAAATTTTATTTTTCATTCATGCTACCCATCCATTGTGGGTGAGTTACAAGTTACAGCTAAGTTCCATGTCATATTCATTCTGTAACCCAGCAGAAGAAATGGTATCTGTCTGGGCCATAACCTGTTTTAACTTCTACCTTGAAGATGACACATTTTCAACATTGCATTGGCTCAAGTCACATGGCCATGCATTATTCCAACAACCTGAGGATATAAAATCTTTCTATAGGGAAAAAAATACTTTGTAAATGTTAATACAGCCTACTGTGTCTCTATACCTATCATCTTCTGTCTTGGATTAGCTCCTGACATAAAGCTAAACAGCACTAAGAAATGTAGTAAGTATTTGAATGTAGCTTCCATCCTGAAACTGCACATAGTCTGTACTTAAATGACTACTATGAGCCATCAAAAGGGTAAACAAATTCTATATCCACTAATATGTGGAGACTACCAAAATATATTAAGTGAACAAAAGTAAGATACAGACTATAGAGTTTATGATATACTTTCATTTGTGTAAAAAATATATATATATGCATACATCTGCATGTGTATGCATAAAATATTCAAAAAGAATGCACAAAAAATTAGATGTTTCTAAATATCCAGGAAATGTTTCTTTAGAACGTAAGAATCTAGTCTGGGAGAGATTTTTTTTTTTTTGGCTTTAAACAACAGAAATTTATTCTTGCATCCCATACCAGAAGTCTGAAAACAAGGTGTTAGCAGGGCTGTACTTTCTCTGAAAGCTCTAAAGGAGAATCCTTCATTACCGTTTGAGGCTTCTGTTGGCCCTAGATGTTACTTGGCTTATGGCAGCATCACTTCACTCTCTGCCTCAGATTTCACATGGCCTTCTCCCGCTTCTGTGTCTCAATGTGTCCTCTCCTACTCTTCTTTTTCCTTTTGTCTTTTGTTTGCTTATTTTTATTTTTAAGATTTTTTTCTTGCGATGAGAAGTCTTAGGATTTACTCTTTCTTTTAACTGGAGGAAAATTACTTTAGAATGTTGTGTTGGTTTCTTCCATACAACAATGCAAATCAGTTAGAATTATAGATATGTATATATGTACGTATCCCCTCCCTCTTTTTTTACTTCTTTCTGTCTTTATCTTCTTTTAATTTTTTAAATGTATTTAATTTTCATTGATAGATAATTATTTTACAATATTGTGCTGGTTTCTGCCATGCATCAACATGAATCAGCCATTAGTTCAGTTCAATTCAGTCGCTCATTCATGTCCGACTCTTTGTGACCCCATGGACTGCAGCACGCCAGGCCTCCCTGTCCATCACCAACTCCTAGAGTTTACCCAAGCTCATGTCCATTGAGTCAGTGATGCCATCCAACCGTCTCATCCTTGTCGACCCTTCTCCTCCCGCCTTCAATCTTTCCCAGCATCAGAGACTTTTCAGATGAGTCAGCTCTTCCCATCAGTTGACCAAACTACTAGAGTTTCAGCTTCAACATCAGTCCTTCTAATGAACACCAGGACTGAGCTCCTTTAGGATGGACTGGTTGGATCTCCTTACAGTCCATGGGGCTCTCAAAAATCTTCTCCAACACCACAGTTCAAAAGCATTAATTCTTCAGCACTCAGCTTTCTTTATAGTCTGACTCTCACATCCATACATGATGACTAGAAAACCCATAGCCTTGGCTAGAAAGTCCTTTGTTGGCAAAGTAATGTCTCTGTTTTTTAATATGCTGTCTGGGTTGGTCATAACTTTCATTCCAAGGAGTAAGCATCTTTTAATTTCATGGCAGCAGTCACCAGCTGCAGTGATTTTGGAGCCCCCCAAAATAAAGTCTGCCACTGTTTCCATTGTTTCCCCACCTATTTGCCATGAAGTGATGGGACCAGATGCCATGATCTCAGTTTTCTGAATGTTGAGCTTTAAGCCAACTTTTTCATTCTCCTCTTTGACATTCATCAAGAGACTTTTTAGTTCTTCTTCACTTTCTGCCATAAGGGTGGTATCATCTGCATATCTGAGGTTATTGATATTTCTCCTGGCAATTTTGATTCCAGCTTGTGTTTCTTCCAGCCCAGCATTTCTCATGATGTACTCTGCATATAAGTTAAACAAGCAGGGTGACAATATACAGCCTTGATGTACTCTTTTTCCTATTTGGAACCAGTCTGTTGTTCCATGTCCAGTTCTAACTGTTGCTTCCTGACCTGCATGCAGATTTCTCAAGAGGCAGGTCAGATGGTCTGGTATTCCCATCCTTTGAAGAATTTTCCACAGGTTATTGTGATCCACACAGTCAAAGGCTTTGGCATAGTCAATAAAGCAGAAGTAGATGTTTTTCTGGAACTTTCTTGCTTTTTCAATGATCATACGAATGTTGGCAATTTGATCTCTGGTTCCTCTGCCTTTTCTAAAACCAGCTTGAATATCTGAAAGTTCACGGCTCATGTATTGTTGAACCATGGCTTGGAGAATTTTGAGCATTACTTTACTAGCATGTGAGATGAGTGCAATTGTGCAGTAGTTTAAGCATTCTTTGGTATTGCCTTTCTTAGGGACTGGAATGAAAACTGACCTTTTCCAGTCCTGTGGCCACTGCCATAGGTATACATATATCACTTCCCTCTTGCGACTCCTGCCCTTCCCCTTATTCCATCCCTCTAGGTCATCACAGAATGCCAGGCTAGGCTCCCTGTGTTATGAAGCAACTTCCCACTAACTATCTGTTTTACATATGATAGTGTATACGTGTCAGTACTACTTTCTCAGTTGAGAGAGATGTTCTTATAGTATGCCCTTTTGCACTACTTAAATTTTTTCAAGGGTATTGATTGTTTTCTTTTTTTAATTGATGTATAATTGCTTTACAATGTTGCAGTAATTTCTGTTTATCACTGCAAAATTATACAGATATATTTAACCATAATAATATCCTGTGATAAACCGTAATGGAAAAGAATTTTAGAAAGAATGTGTATGTGTGTATATATACACACACACAAGAGTTTGATATCAGTCAACCAATTTCCCCAGCAATGTTCCAGAGGATCATAAAAGCAAAGATATGGTACCACACAGCAGAATGATCATAAGAGAAAGCAGAGAATCAACTGACAAGGAACTCTCAGACCCATTTCAGGAAGTCCTTCATAGATTCTAGAGATCAATTTAATGAAAAAATAAAACTACGAAATGAAACTTTCAAGTTACCTCCTTAGGTCCTGACATTTTTCATCTTATGCTGATGAAATATTTAGTTCATGTATGCTGATCCCTGAGATCAAACAGAGTTTACTGCTTAATTATACAACTCCTTTCCTGCCATATTTTCCTTCTTCACATCTGCCATTATGAACTAACTATTCCAGCTCTTTCTACAGCACCTGCCTTCTGAGCATAGGAACAAGTAGATAACTTTCCAGAATGCTTATGCTTAAACCTTACAAAGAACAGATACCACTTTTCCCCAAAACCTCTCACTTCATACTACTAGAATAGTGACTCCTTTACTCAAAAATAAGGTCAACTTTGCACCAGAACAATGAATATACCGTCTAAGAAACTACTGCTTTTATTGTGAGAGTAAATTTCATAGTTATCTCTGTGGCTGTGTTCTGATATTTTTAATGTTTAGATACTAAGTAGTTTAGATACTAATTAAACCTCTCTTGAAATTCTTTCTATATTCATGTGGGAGACAGAATGACCACTGGAAGATGCCTGTGTCCTAGTTCTAGGATGTATAAATATGTTACATGACAAACTGGAAACAAATTATGTTAAATTATAGTAAGACTGCAAATGGAATTAAGATTGGCTGATTGGAGGTGGGAGGCAGAAGGGAATATCTGTGTTGGAGTGATACAGTGAGAAAGACCCAACTTCCCTAATAGGAGACTATTAAGAATAATATACATAAGGCTACTTAGCATAACTCAACAACAAATTTTTTCCAGGACAAAAACTGATTGACACTTTCTCATGCAGATTTTATTAACCACTTCAGAGACACAGTACGTAAGAATGACCAACAATACAATGAAATTCATCTCGAGCTTTATAGCTATGGGATAGTTGCTGGTACATCATATGCCAGACATGGGTTTTCACTAATATCATTTACACTGAAAGAAAAATGGGCCAGAACCTTGTCTGGGCATCACCACTTTGTTCTAATGCTCTCAAACAAATGGTTAGACTTCTGAAAGGATGGTGCATACAACTAGAATGTGTTAAATCGGATGTTTGGAGAAAAATGAATTAAAAACTTGCACTTTTTTTTTTTTTACACTGCTTGATAGGTCATTCCTATGTTCGACAACACGTTTTAGTCCTGCTTACTTTTTAAAATGGCTACGTCTGAACATAACAGTGAGCTTAGAGCAGAAGTATTCTTTATGCCAGTCTATGTTCATCACTATTTCACTTATTTAGTCCACAAAAGATTGTTATTAGCAAATGTGAAGCTGGACTATAGTGCATTCATTTTATAAATGAGATGCTGGCATCCCTGTAGCAAAAGGTTCCGAGGGAGGCTAGAGAATGGGGCATCACCATGGTGACCTACTGTGATGGTGCGCATCCCTGGAGTAATCAACCACAGAAAAACCATTAGAAAGCTCTCCTCCAGGGACATATTGTTGTTTTTTACTCAACCACTTAAGGAATGATCAGGGCCACAAAGTCAAGGAAGCAATCACTCTTCTGTGACTATTACGAAGAATGAAATGGAGTCTCTGGGCTCTTCCTCAACCATTTGTACAGACATAACCTCGAGAAAGGCTTCCCCATCTCTGACCGGAAAATTACATTAGCGAGAGAGAAAAGATTCCACAAATGCCAAGGGGTACAGTAGTTCATTACGAGTTTGTTTGTCTCATTTATACCATTTTAAATTTCTGTAGTTTTGTGTTTCATCTGTTTGAACAGAGATTAGGATGTTATTCAGCGGTTTGGAGAAGAGTGGCCTGAGGGATAAAGATGGGGAAAAAAGGAAACGGGGCAACTTCACATAGAAGAATTTTGCAGTAATACTAGGTTCTCTTAAACAGAAACCTGTCACTCATTGTTTGCAATTACCATTCAAAATAATAGAAACAGAGTGTTACAGGGAGTAACTAAACAAATAGAAAGGTATTTATTAGAAGCCACATTAAAACGAATTTGTAAGGGATAACAAAACTGTAAGAAAAGACTTTTCCATCAACTGTGGGAATTTGCTTTACTGCTATTATTTCTATGCTTTTAACTTTTGGATTTTTGGATTCAGTCTTATTAAGTAGGTATCACTTTCTTTCTTATATATTTTATAACATATGTATATATGCATGCATACACATATTTTTAAATATATTTTATGATTAACATTTGGAAATGGGTAATGCTGACAATTGTCAGCTAATGTTAACCTAGTCTTCCAAGTACTAACACGCTATAAAGGAAAACCAATTTGTTCAGACTGTTAGCAAAGTAAAGTACATATTAGTCAATATTTCAAACAAGCTGCCCAGGATGATTTTTCAAGGACATTTTAGGCATTAGCCAATTAAAACTGCTGACATCAACAGTAACCATGGTTTAGATTTATGCCATTGAGCACATAGGTTAGGGGAAATTGGTATTGAGTCATTATCAAAGGTTAATTCCAGTAAGAACTGTTTATATTTGATTTATTGAATGACTACAGAATGTATCTCTCCATGAGGTACATTTCCAAATTCATATTGCTGGCCAAAGAGATTTAGAATAAAGAGGCATAAATGGCAATTATTATTGTAAGACTGTATAAAACTCACAGATCAGGTGTAAATTAAGTCAATTGGCTATGCATAGGTGGACACATATTTAGAGATAAACTTTCTTTAAAATTTAACTTAGGACAAAATATTTTTGGAAATAAAATATACCACAAAATGAATTTCTTTCTCTTTTAATGTTCTTTTTAAAGTGTCACTTTTTTCTTTTGTTTAGGAATATATCAATACACTATTTTTAACTTGACTTGTCCTTAAAGTTGTTGTTTTTTTTTTATCTTTTAAATGTAAATACCTGGAAAAGAAAAAATTCATAGAAAATTTTTCCAGTTTTTTTGGGGGAGGGGGAGAAGCAGTTGGAGGAAGGACAAAATAACTGGAAAACTGCTCTATTTTTACCAAGTTAACAAAATCTCACAACCTTCTCCACACATATAGATACTTGTAAATGAAAAGTTTCAAAAGTGTCACCTTTTTTTGATTTAAGTACATTTGTCCATGTGCATCTAAACACACACACTTATTTATTGTAGGATTCCTGTTTATAATTAAATTGCAAAGGGGTATGAACATTTCAAGCTTAGAGCAAGGTGTTCTCATTTATTATTGAAAGAACACGGTGATCTCCGAATCCATACATACATACACACAGAGAGACCCAGGGAGATGTTGTAAGCATTTGTTCAGTTGCAATGAGCTAGGAGAGAGACAGTAAACTACTCACAGACTCGAAAGGTTATTATCGACAAAATAAATGAAAGCATGAGTTGGTCAATTGTCCGTAAAGGATGCACTGTGATAAAGCCAATGTTAGGCAAGTTCTCCTTTATGCAGTGGTTCTTTTCAGCCTCAGAATCCCATTCTGAGAACTGTAGAGGGGATCACGGTGGAAGGGAGCTGATGAAGAGAGTTGTCCATCACTGTCTCCCCTCCCCAGCTAGAAGCCAGATTGAGCTACAAGTCAAATCTGGGGACACAAATGCTCCACGGAAGCAGAGACCACAGCAACTGAAACAATGCTGTCCATTTCTACAGAAAGATCTATTTTAATTGTACATTTCCTGGTCCAGATAGATTCAAACCACTAGTTCAAAATGAGTGTGATAAACTGCCCTGCAGAGTTTTACAGCTTTCAGAATGAGAATCCTGTATACATAAAGATTAAGTTATGATCTATCCTGGGACCATGGCAGGACTAGCCACATATTCTAAAATTCTAATCCATTAAATTGAATCATTATTTATTATTAATTTACTATTCCTTAAATGCAAGGATTAACAAGACATCACTGAAGTCAATTTAGTAAATAATTATCCCCCCAAATATGTGGTCCAGAACTGATGGCTATGGACTAGAAATCATTGGTCATTCACAGCCCATCCTAGAGTGAAACCAGTTTCTCATTCAGCCAGGGAGTCATTTGTTCTTCCCCAAAGTCACATCACCTATGAGTCACTCATTTGCTAGGTAAGATTTTTTACTTAGTTGCCAACTAGACCAAGGCAATTTAAATTAGCACAAGACTCCTCTCAGAGGCAAAAGCAACACAAAGAAGACAGGCATAGGCTAGACCTGAGAGCGCAGCCACCACCACTGAGAGCCCCTCAGCAAGCCCCCTCCTGACACCTTTAGGGCCAGAGGATCTGCAGAAGGGAGGAGTGGGTCCACTCTCTAAGCTCGCGCAGTTGGTCAAGGCCACCACTCAAGTGCTCAAGGTTGTTGCAACAAGAAATTCCTGTGCAACGTGAAGGCCTTTGACAGGCACTACAGTGCTGGACAATGTGAAGGACATGGGGACCAGCACTCCCAAGCATGGCAAGGTAAGCTGTCCAAGCACCGCTACATCTCCAAGGTGTTACTGCACCAGAAATCAGTTATCACATTCCTGCAGAACCCACTCATGGCTGTCAAGGAAGGGTCTCCTTCCCGCCCTCTTATATCACTCCCCATTCCTGCAAGAACCTACCCTTTGTGATAGGAATAATAAAGTCTTATGGGCATTTTTAATAAATAAATAAGTAATTTTTTTTCTAAAGTAGGAATGAAGAAAAGATAGAAGGAGGTGGGGAGAGGAGGAAAGGAAGGATAGTAAGAAGGAAAAAGAATACACTGGCTTTAAAAAAAACAATGTGCAAAGGGCAGGCTTGGGGATGACTGGTACCAGGGACTTCAGTGACACTACTTGGTGCTTTTTTTCTTGTGATTCTGTGTGGCTGTTTCTCTCTGACCAGCATTTCCAACAAGCATGGAGGCTGGTCACCTGTAGCTTCAGATTTTACTTGTTATAATCTCAGAAAGCGAAATTTCAAGCTCTGGTTAGAAAAAAATTCAGGAAACTTCCTCATTGTCTTGGTTTGTGACAGGTGCCCATCCTGGGGTGAATCTCTGTGGCCAAGGTCTTATCAAGCTGGCAGCCCCCGGAGTAGAACATGCAAGGAACAAATCCCAAAGAAGAGGAGCGGGTTATGTCTAGAAAGAAAGAAGCTGCCATGCAATCAGAATAGAACCCACTCAACCTGTACTGCTTACCAGATTCTCATGATGTAAGAACTGGAAAGGATAATAAAAGTCTATGGTTCCAGTTTCCCACCTCTGTGCTAAGTTCTGGGTTCCATGTTTTAAAAGAGGCTGAGACAAACTGAAGAAATGTTCAGAGGAGGGATGGTGCTAGAAGCTATACAAGGTACAGCTTTACAAGGAACTGAAACCTAAGGAAGACTAAAGACGTGTATAGGAAAAAAGACAACTTTGTCAAGTACATGAGGGGGCATATTTTCCCTGTGCTGACTAATTCTTGGGGTCACAAATATGCCTACAGGACTCAGAAAGGTAACATAAGGAATAGAGCTGGCCAGATGTTAGAAAAGCAATAGTACATGCATGATAATTAATGTAAGTGACACTCAGCCAAAAGATGTGGAAATCTACAGGAAGTGGATGTCTCTGGAGACCTGGAGAACTTATGCCCCTTCTAAAAAAGGCAGTTCCCACTAAGGTCCAGATAACTGTTGCCCTGTAAGAATGTGCACAGGGGAGCCTGGCAAGCTACCATCCACAGAATCACAAAGAGTCAGACATAACTAATGACTAACACAAACACCTGTTACTGTTAAGAATGTGGCTACAATATTACAAGATCTTTCTTTTTTAAAGAAAAGCTATAAAATCTTATTTTTACATGAAACGTCTCAATTTCTTCAATGTTGGCTTATTCTTTTTAAAAAGCAACAAGCAGGCCAAACAAAATACTATGTTGAAAGAAGTCCTCCATGGGGTGCCAGATTGAAATATCTGCTCAAGAAAGCAAAACTAATACCCATCACTCAAACTTCTTAAGATTTAGGGTTTTAGTTTTTATCATTTATATGTAGTTTAATAGCTAGAACTCTTCGATCATAATGTGGTAGATGTTTTGTGAATTAGTCAGTGCACTGTCCCTGGATGTAGGTAAGGAGAAGCCAGTGATTATTATTAAGGAATATTATGTAAATGAATCCTGCATTAGGGGATCCTGACTGGTCCACAATACATCACTGAAAGAGACAATGGAGAGAGCCAACATGGCATGATATTTCTAAATGCAGGCAAGACCACACTGAAGATATATATGTCACATGTGCTGGCAATGGGATAGGATTTTGATGGACATAAATCCAAATCTCTTTCTGTCTAGTTGCAAAAAAATGTCTTCCTGGCCCCTGTGATATGTTTTAGCATGTTTGGAATGAGGGGAGTGTGGTTTTGGGGGTTAAGTGTTCTGGATTCTTGTCCTTGATCTGTTACTCATGAGTCACATGACCATGGACAAGTCACATTCCTCACTCTCCAAACAACTTAACAATCTAGCATGGTTTCAAATTCAAGATTGCCAAAACAGTTCCCCTCACTTTCTTTTCTTCTCATAAGAAGAATATGTTCCTTTCTTGATTTCCTCATGTCAAGGAAAGTTGCAAAATTTGACTTTTCCTAGACTCCAGTGGCAAATCCCCTGCCCACTATCATGAAGGAAGATTCTAAGATGACATCAAAGAAAGGAAATTAGGCGTCCTGGTGTAGGAGAACAACACAAAGGATTTCCACTTGAAACCAAAGACAACGATGTACTCAGAATAAGAAAGCAGGTCTATTGCTGAGCCATGGGTTTCATAAAGGTATACTGTGGGCAATGTAAAAACCAAACCAAAGCTCAGAAATTACCTTCACAGGGGCCTGATAAGTTCTTAGATAGGGCCATTCTCTTCCCATTTTTTTGCCGGTAGACTTTGGGCCGAGGAAGAAGGTTCCATCCTCTGGTTGCAGCAGTATCCCTCAAATCTCCATGTAAAGTGAATATATGTCAAACCATATGTATCAAACTCAGCTATAACTTCAGATACACTCTCATGAGAGAAAACATGGCCAATGTTAAAAAACAGTCATGTGAATCCTAACATTTAATTTTTTAAAAGTGACTGCAGAAACATTAGTTGAAGGAGATAATGGTCAATGTAATCTTAAATTTTGTTTAAATGTGATACCCATGCAATTTGTCTTCAAAATTCACTGCAAAATTCATTTCCCTGTCTGCTGAAAAATGTCAAGGGTGCCATGAGACTAATATGTTTCACTAGGCTGTGAAGTTGCACTATGGCTATTAGTATTTAGAAAAACTGGTTGAAAACCAAATTCAGACAATTAAGATCACACAAACAGTTCTTGACAAGCTGTTGCTAATAAAATGTTTCTATCTTTCTCGGTAGAATTACCCAGACATTAATAAACATTATTTGACTGATAACTAATTAATAATAAACAATTCCTGCATTTTACTGAGAGGCAGTTTAGCAGAGTGAATAATGACCTGACCTCTGAAGCCAGATTGCCTGGATTAAAATCCCAACTCCACCACTTACTAGTTGTTAAGTTGCTTAACTTCTGTAGTTTGCTCATTTATAAAATAGTAAACTTACATGATAGGGTGTGGTGAGGATTAAATAATTCAATATAAGCAAGACAGTGCCTGACACATAGCACTGTGTGACTGTAAGCTATTATGACTATCTCTTGCTTTATAAAATCCATTTGTCCCATAGTCATTCACTAGGCTGTGTGCCCTCTGTCCCAGGCAATACACCAGGCACAGGGATATTTGTAGTATTTCCTAAACCAGCAGCAGAAGTCTGAGTGGTGTAGGCAGTGCTTTCTCAAGTACAAAACTAAATGGCGGGGTGGAATAGGGGCAAGCTCCCTTCTCCTAACCGATTAAATGCATACATCAGAAACTACACTGACTATGCTTCAAGAGGAAGTCACCGATAATGTTTGTGAAATTTGCAGTTAGTTACCCACTCAGGTGACTTTTGCCACATCTAAATTAAATTTGCATCTGGCTTAGATTTCTGTATGAGATGATGCTTCTAATTTGTGTTTTGGGTAAAGGCCCAGCTCCCAGCGTGTGGAGAGAGAGTTATGAAGGAGGAGGCCGCGTTATCAGAAGGCCGGGTGGGACAGAGTTTTGATGTGAGCATGTTGTGCCAGTTCTCATATGTCTACAGCCCAGGCCAAAATCTGCCCTCAGTTATGCATGCACAGCTTTCATTGACGTCAGTAAGAACGGTGCTCATGTAACAGGAGGCAGAAGTTTGGCTCTTTGATTTTAATAGAATTAAATGCCAAAATGTTTTGCTGATGCAGGTTGCAAATTTAAACCCCAGAGGGTCAGGAAAATGCAACAGAATTTTGTTCTGTTGGCAATCTCCTCTTTTACACAGGCCATGTCATTAAGTGAGTCCTGAATTTCTCAAGTCTGACTTGGAAGCGCCTGATTGTATGTTGCTGATGAGTTGTGTGTGGCTTCCCGCTGCAGTTAAACCTTTAAGTACGATTCCAAGATTTTGTCTGTGGCTCCAGATAAAACTCTAACACATAGCCCTAATTCATTGTCCATTATAGAACTCCATTTCTGTTCTGGGCTTAACAACCATGCTGAAATCAGATGGTATTGCCGATCAGACTCCACTCCCCACTTTAGATGACTGGGGAATTATGTAATGAAATTTAGGGGCTTAGCATTCTTGGAGTTTTCAGACTAAATTTCAGTCTAATTTATTTTCAGGCATATCCATAGCTTTGTCTTAATATTTGTGTGGTTTTGTAAAATTTTAATTTAATTTTATGCAATGATGTTAACAATTGGATCTCCCAGACCTGAGCATCTGGTAGTAAGTTTCTAAGTGGTAAAACACAATTCAACAGAAATATTAAGCCAGGCCAATGGACCAAAAAAAAAATCCTTTAACTGAGAATAGAGATCCTTCTGATTCCTTTATCCAGCTACTCAATTTCTGTTTCCTGCTTTGGGTCCAGAGAAGCAGGCTTTCTCTTGAACTGTTGTTTAGAACTAGGATGGGTGCCTGAGTATGTCTCTTGAGCTGCAAGTTTCCTTATGGGTGACCTGACCTAGCAAAGCCTTTTTGGCCACTTGTCACTTCTCACTCCCTCCTCTTTAAGGGAGAAATAGATTATATGAATGGTAAAGCTGGGAGCAAGAACAAATGTATCTCAGCTCTGTCTTTGGGATCATCCTGCCTGCAGAGAACATGTCTTTTGCTTTGCACCCATGCCACAGATTTTGTCACTGTGAGGATTCTGCCTGTGACTGAGGATGATGTCTTTTATATTCCAGAGACTGGTATTCACAAACCCATTCTATGTCAAGCACTTCCTGCAACAGCTTCAGGAGCAACAGAGCTGCCATCTTGCTATCTGCCAGCTTGACATTTTAATTAAGGGGCATTGGCAGACAAGCGATAAATTATCAGCTAATGTCTAAAACTGATCAATTAATTTCTAGGAACATCGCTTAGAAATAGGGGAGCAAATATCAAAGAGAAAACACATCTTGAAAGTGGCAGCCTTTGAAAATCATATTGGGAGAGAAGGCTTGACGTGGAGTAGGGCAAGAAGCCACTGTCCTCACTCTCCTTCAAAGTTCAATTTGGTTTTGGCACTTGGTGAATAATTCATGATTTAACATTTACTATCGATATATTATGGAACTATAACACATCAGAGTGGAGAAACTCAATAGATCTCCAGTGTTTTTCAAATTGAAAGTCAAAATTGGTGTTAGCATGCCATGAAATCAATTTATTGGATGGTGACCAAGATATTGAAATGAAATGAAATAACAGAATAGGTCAGAGGGCATGATAATCTGGATCATAATATAAAATATATATTTTTATTGTGGATTATGATTAAAATGTTTGAAATCTATTCAGTTTTTCCAACTTTCCACTTAACTCTCAACCACTTTCCTTAACTATGGACCCACTCTGTCTACGAAGCCAAGTGGTTCTAAATAAGAGTATGCATATGAAAATACTTTGAAAACCGTAAAGCTCAAACCACATTTAAGGCGCTGTTTTGATTTCTCAATAATAATGATGATGATGATGATGGGGAAAATGTCTGATCTTCAATTTTGCACAGCTCTTCAACATGAAAGCAGTCATAGCACCAAGCCCAACCCCACACCTACACTTTTCTAAGA